TGGGAGGGGAGGGCACAGAGAATACAAAATGAGTAAACTGCCATCTCAGCCCCTTCGGGACAGCCGTTCTGACATAGGAGAAAAGGAACAGATGCAGGAAATAAATAGGGGCTCAAGGCAGGACTGCTAGGGCAGACCCTGTCTGCAAAAGACAGCTGCATCTCTACCTCCCACCCGGAGTCTGCAGAGACCTTGCCACCCCCTGCTGAGACACAGGGTCTAGCTCAGCACCCCTGAATCTGGGTTGGCCTGAGATAGCCTTGACCAAGGCGCTGGTAGAAGCGAAACCATGTCCATCCTGGGCACAGCCCCTAGCTAGGCTGGCCTCCCTGCCTCCTGTGTCATGGAAGCAGCCACCAGGTGAGAAAAGCAGCTTTCCCAGCACCTTGCTGTGAGACCTGGGTGGTGGGGGGTGTGGTCCCATCGAGACCGAGAGGCCAGGGCTGTGGCACTGGCTTGAGAGCGAAGGAGCCACTGCTGAGCAGAGGCGAACCGCCCTGCTGAGCCCTTCCCAGTGCCTGACCCGGGAACCCTGAGCAAAAGGAGCCTGCACTGAGCCCCTGGGGTGCAAGGACTTTGTCAGGCAGTGGTGGATCACTGACTCACGCCAAACCCAAGTCCTCAAGTAAGAGGGAGTGGGTGGCGAGCCCCAGGCCTCCTCCAAGCTCACTTTCCCCGTCCACTACAGGGGGCCGAGCTCTCGCTCTAAGAATCCACTGGAGAATTGGAGGGCTCCTGGCGGTGAGTTGAGCAGAGGGGCTCCATGTGGTGTGAGGGCCAGGGGAAGCCAGCAGCGGCAGCTCTGCGGGGCAGGAGAAGCTGAGCTTTGAGCTGAGTTTGCCTCCTGAGCAGCTGGTCGTTCCCCACCTGGGCGATTTGCAGAATGTCCTTAACTTCTCTGAGCCTCAGTTTACCTTTCTGACAAATGGGGCCACTGATAGCCACTAACAGGACCATCATGAGAGTGAGATGCGCTGTGTTTGTGAACATGCTGGGCACACGGAGGAGCTGGTGTGAAACTCCCCTTCTCTGACAGGCGCTGGGACCTGGGCGGGGCTTGATCCTCCCACTCAGTTCCTGATGCTCACAAAACTCTGGGTCTTTCCCAGCCTCTGTTTTCTCTCTTCTGAAAACTGAAAATACTAACATCACCCTGGGGTTCCTGGAGGGGGGAACGTGAGACAATACATGTGCTGTGTGCTGCCTGGGGCGTGAAGTGGTCTGCAAAGCCGTCGGTGGCATTTGCGCGGACAGAAGGAAAGGTGGGGGGTCTGAACAAAGCCCAGGAGGTGTCCCCAAACCAGGGGGCCTTGAGCGTTGGCACAGTGGCTTTCTGTGAGGGAAGGTGGCCAGGACCCTGAATGAGGAGGACTGGGTGGCTGTTGGCAGCTGGCTTCTGCTCACCCAGCCAGCTCTGCAAACCTTCTGCCTGTCAGAGCCTATCAAGAATCTCTCTAATGACACAGCAAACATTAATTACAGCTGGAAGGCCGCAGAATGGGGTTGGTCTGAAAGAGCCTGCCCCTTTTTAGTCACTGAGCCTCTGGGGAGGGTGCAGGCAGGGGCTGGACTTCCTCCCCAGGGGCTAGTGTGGTGGGGGGGGGATGGGGAGCAGGGGCTGCTTCCAGGGCTATGGTGCAGACCACAGGTCCTGGGGGAGACCTCCTATTCTCAGCCCTGTTTGGCGCCCTAAGGGAAAACCTGTCCTCGAAACCTGCAGCAGGAGAGGCAGAAAGAGAGGCCCCTGGGTGGAGCAGGAAGGCCTGGGACCCAAGTCCAGCCCTGCCTCTTACGGCTCTGGACAGAATACAGCCCATGCAAAGGGGCGGTGCTTGGACGTCTCCGCCTCTCTCAAACCCCTCCCCTGCACACTGGGTGGAGAGAAGGGCCATTCCCTGGGTGTTCACAAGTCCAACAGGCTGCAAATAAGGACTAGGGGAGGTGAGGCACAGTGGCTTACACCTGTAATCCCGGAGCTTTGGGAGGGCAAGGTGGGAGAATTGCTTGAGTCCAGGAGTTCAAGACCAGACTGGGTAACAAAGCAAGACCCAATCTCTGCAAAAAATAAGAAAGCAGCTGGGCATGGTGACACATGCCTGTAGTCTCAGCTGCTTGGGAGGCTGAGGCGGGATGATTCCTTGAGCCCAGGAGGTGGAAGCTACAGTAAGCCATGATCACACCACTGCATGCCACCCTGGGTAATCAAAAAAAGACTACTGGATAAGGCCAAGGCATCCAGGCAGACAGAATATTGGAAGGGAGTGGAGTCCTTGAGTTGAATGAGGAAATGAAGGGAGGCCCCTTGAGTGGGGCTGGGGAGACAGCCTGGGGCTATCCTTCTAGGGCAGCCTAGGACTGACCATAGGGGCATCCCACTACTGAAGGTCCCAAGACTTAGTTCCCCTCCCTGTCCCTCTCATGGAAAAGAGAAAAAGGAGGATTCAGCCCTAGTTTCTTGGCCCCTGGAAATATCTGAGCTTCAGGAGATACCCCTACCAGAATAAAAGCCTCAGGAGATACTCCCACCAGAATAAAAGCCTCAGGAGATAACCCCATCAGAATAAAAGACTTTGTCTCATCATTTCTAGCTACCCCAGAGAGAAGAGAAAGACTGCAAGGTGGAGAAGCCTGGCTGAAGCTTGGGGACTCACACTCACCATCTCCACCTTCCTTGTGTGCTCATTCATCCTTCATTCTCACAATCATTCATTCATTCAGTATTTATTGAGTGCTTGGGGGTGGACAGGGAGGGAACCAAGATGGACGGAACAGGGTTGTTGTCTTCATGGATCACAGAGGCTCTGAGCGCTGAAGAGAACATGAGTAATGGAATCCCACAGTCCGACCCCAGTGCTGGACACCGATCCTGTTGCTTGCTGCTGTGTGCCCCTGGGCAAGTGGCCCACCCACCCTGGGCTTCAATCTTTATGCCTGTAAAATGACCCTGGAAGGACTAAATAAAAGGACACATGGGAAGAACCCAGCCTGGCTCCTGTCTCAGTAGGCATGGGTCCCCTGTGGAAGAACTTGGGACATGCAGGGGAGAGTTCTGGTGGAGGAGGCATCCCAGCCCACCTGCGGGCCCTACTACTAATAGCTGGGCTCATGTCCCACCCGAGGCTGGGACGATGGCCCGTCCCCTCTTCTCAAGGTGATGCCCTTGCTGTGCCTCTGGCTGTCACCTCCCACCTGCCCACCTGTCTGTATCCAGGAGGTGGGGGCAGAAGGGACTTGGGGGCCCTCCCTGGACAGAGCCTGGGCTAGAAGCGAGTGGTTGGCTAGCTCTCTGTGGAGGCCTGGGTTCCCTCTGCAGCAGCCACCACATGTCAGGGGATCCAGGGACCCAGGAGAGCACATGCTGGTGGGCATGAGGCCTCGGGGGAGCTGGGCTGGCTTGGCCTTGGGGAGGGACTTGGCGTAGTGTCGGGCTGAGCGTGCCGCCAGCATATGTCTGAGCGGGCACATTTGGCAGGGTCCATATGCTGACTGCTATAAATAGATCTTCTCATTTAGGCTTCAAAGGGCCAAGGTGAGGAAGAACCGACAGGGTTTGGAGAGGCACCGTGCAGGCAGGACTGCGGCTCTTGGCTTGGGGCGGGAGCACCACCCAGAAACCCACAGTGGCTCATGTCCCCATCCCAGCACGGTGGCCTGGACAGAGCTTGGGTGTGGTCGCTATGGAGCAAGGGGGGGTCAGGCCCGTGGTGGGTGGGGACCTTGGAGCCCTGCGTTCTCCAGCTGAAGACCCGCTAGGCCCTGGGAGAGAACAGTGTGTGTCTGAGTGTGATTTTTGTGTGAGTGTGCATTGTGTGTATGTAAGTGTGACTTTTGTGCAAGTTGTGTATTTGCGTGTGAGTGTGATTTTTGTGTATTGTGTGATTTTTGTGTGAGGGCATACTGTGTGATTTTTGTGCGAGTGTGTATTTGTGAATGTGATTTTTGGGCGAGGGTGTACTGTGTGTGTGTGATTTTTGTGCAAGTGTGTACTGTGTTATTTTTGTGAGTGTGTACTGTGTGTGTGTGAGTGTGACTTTTGTGTGAATGTGTACTGTGTGTGCATATGTGGGCATGTTCTCAGCCTCTGGCCCCTTCAGCCATGGGTCTACCACTTGCTCCTCCCCACCCTTTCCTGATGTGCACACACAGACACACACACATGTGTTAGACACACGAGCATCTAATTACTGACTCACAGCAGGCAGGCGTCCGACAGCTGGGGCAGCCAGAGGACATTCCATTTTCGTTGAAGCTGACAACACTGGAAACCACCCAACTGGGGTGCGAGTGCACCCTCTCAGGAGTGACTTAGTCAATGAGACGGCAGCCAGGCCCCGGAGGGAGGCCTGTGTTCTGCTCCCACCCCACCCCCGCTCTGCCTCGCACCTGCCGCCCTCCTTCCCTCCCTCCCGTCTGTCTAGCTCCTGCCTCTCTAAGGCTGCACCAACCTGGCAGACACACGCACCTGTCACCGGCCTCGCCTGCGCCCTGTCCTGTCCCACTGTCTCCTCTCCTCTCCTCTCCTCTCCACACCACCAGGGCCCCCGCCAGCTGCCAGGAGCCCCAGCGCCAGCTGTGGGCGGGATTCTGGACGGGCAACCTCCCTGTGGGAGTCATCAGCCTATTCCCTGGGTTCCTTCTTCCCCAAACACAGTGTCTGGCCCCTGCTGCTGGCCAAACTGCCTGCACCCCCCAGGTTTTGGGGTGTCAGGGTCACCTGCTCCCCCTCCCTAATCCTAGCCTCTGCCCCACTTCTGGGAGACCCCTCTTTGATCCCCAGCCCAACCTTACTTAGGGACAGAACCGCCCTCTGGGGAGCAGGGCTGGGCCGTGACACCTTGTTCTGCCTCCTGGGCTGTGCCCCTACTGACAGGGGCCTCGCCTGGGCCATGCCTGGCATGGTGGGGAGGGGACTGGCACCTGACATCAGGGCAGGGCCAGTGTCCACTGTGAGGTAAGGAGATGAAGGTGATGATGCCCTCGGAAGTTGGCCAAGAAGCTGACCCAGGCCAAAAGGGGTACCAGGGGTGCAGGAGGGGAGGTGGGTGTGAGGCACAGATGACCCTGACCTTGAGGAAGGGGCAGTGGTGACCGTGAACCTGCGAATCCACCAAGAAGAATCGGGTGAGACACACCCTGCCTCTGTGACAGGCCCTGTGGGGAGTCGCGTTCATGGGGACCCGCCCTCCGGCAAGGCTGTGGTCAGTGATCACTTACACTTGAGTCCCTCAAAGGGCTGGGGTTCCCCAAAGGGGGTCCGTGCGGGGGTCATGAGCTCTGTCCTCACCCAGTTCTACCTGTGAGTAGCAGTTTGGATGAAATTTGAGAGTTTGCAGGAGGGCCAGGACCAAGACCCAAGCCTTCCCTCCTGCTGGACTGATTGAGGGTCAAATTCATCTCCACAAGTCACACAGGGCAAAACTCACACCCACGTAGCCAGCCAGCAGGGAGGTGGGGCCGCACAGCACCTCAGGGAACAGAAAGACCAAGAGCAAGTTCAAGGGTAACATGGCCACCTGAGAAGGAAACGTGGGTTGACTTAATAGAGGTACGTTAGGTAGAATAGAGGAGGTGATCTGGTTCTGCCCAGTACTGCTTAGCCACGATGAAGGGTTTGGTTTCAGACCTCCAAGGAGATCATAAAAGCTCATGCTAACATTGCACCCACCACACGCCAGACACTGTGCTAGAAACTCTGCATATATTAACATGTTGGATACTTATGGTAACCCTGTGACATCTGTGCTGTTATTTCCAATTTACAGATGAGGTGCAGACATGTTCGTGAACTTGCCTGAGTTCCTACGGCAACTAAGTGGTGGGGCCGGGGCCCAAGCCGAGGCAGCCTGGCCCCACAGCCCGTGTGACTAACCACATCCCGTGTGGCTTACAGGTCAGCGTGGGCATGTTACCAGGTGAACAAGTGGCCCCAATGGGAGGGAACACAACGTCAGCTCATCCAAAAAAAGTGGGAGGAGATGGGATGTCTGGCTGAGGGAAGGCGCGTCAGGGGCACTGCAGCTCGCAGAGCTGCCTACAGCAGAAGGTTCCCCCACCCAGGGCAGGCACTGCACGTGGCCACTCCTCATCCTCCCAGAGACTTCTCCACGCCTGACGATGAGAGTGGGACGCCGTGTGCAGTGCTGGAAAACAGCTAGGCAACATCTCACCAAGGCAAAGATTCTCGAAGCCCAAGAGCCCAAGCCCCAGGTCTGGGCACAGCCCCAGAGAAGCCGGGAGAGCTACCCAAAGATGTCCCAAACAGCATTGTTTATAATGGTGACAGGGCGGACACCGGATGTCCACGAGAGAGTGGACCAGAACCTTGTGAGGCATGGGCTTGGTGGAGTACTATGCAGGAGTGAAAAAGAAGGAACCACTGGGTCACGTGCACAGAGTGGATCCCACTCACAAATATGCCTCCTAGCCAACAAGCCAGCTGTCCAAGATACCTACTGTATCACACCCCATATCCAAAGCTTCAGAGCTGGCAAAAGTGTATTACATAGGCATTTGTACAAATATGGTCATAGTATAAAAAATGTGTCACAATAATGTTGTGGGGGTCTGTCACACAGCGCTGTAAATCCACAGAACACCACTGAACTGCATGCTGAAATGCGTAAGATGGTGAATTTTATGTGTATTTGACCACTATGAAAACAAATTTTTTTTGAGATGGAGGTTCACTGTTGCTGCCCAGGCTGGAGTGCAGTGGCGCAATCTCTGCTCACTGCAACCTCCAACTCCTGGGTTCAAGTGATTCTCCTGCCTCAGCCTCCTGAGTAGCTGGGATTACAGGCGCCCGCCACCATACCTGGCTAATTTTGTATTTTTAGTAGAGACGGGGTTTCACAATGTTGGCCAGGCTGGTCTTGAACTCCTGACCTCATGGGATCTGCCCACCTCGGCCTCCCAAAGTGCTGGGATTATAGGCATGAGCCACTGCGCCCAGCCAAAAAAGTTTTTAAAGAGAAAGAGGGATATAGGATCTTAGTGCACAGGGACTAAGCTGGGAAGGGGGCAGGTATTTGGGTATTCATTGTATTATTCCTTAGGTCATTGATTGTATTAAATATTTTATAACTAGTGAAATATTTATAGGGGATTACTTAAATATTTGAGAACCTTAAATATTTTATAATCAATTTTAAAATGTTTTAGAAAGCAATGGGCTGCCACGTAAGACTGAGCTCCCCGTTAGTGGAGGTATACAACAAGAGGCAGGACACCAGAGATGCCACTAAAGTACTGGGGTGGAAGGCGGACTAAAAAAGTAGCTCCTGGCCAGGTGCAGTGGCTCATGCCTGTAATCCCAACACTTTGGGAGGCTGAAGTGGGCAGATCATTTGAGGTCAGAAGTTTGAGACCAGCCTGGCCAACATGGTGAAACCCTATCTCTACCAAAAATACAAAACTTAGCGGGGCACGGTGGCGGGCACCTGTAGTCCCAGCTACTCGGGAGGCTGAGGCAGGAGAATCGCTTGAACCCTGGAGGTGGAGGTTGCAGTGAGCCGAGATCGCGCCACTGCACTCCAGCCTGGGTGGCAGAGCAAGACTCCATCTCAAAAAAAAAAAAAGAAAAAAAAAAGTATCCTAAATTGGGCTAGCTGTGAAGGTCACTCATGAAGTTTAGAAAAAGAGGCTTCCAAGACATACTCTGGGGTCCTGATTTGGTAAGTCTAGGTCGGGCTAAGCACCTGTACTTGTTAATATGCCCCCTTCTCCAGCTGGACCACCTGTCTGGTCTAAGCACTATTTCTCTAGTCCCAAGGACCAGGCCTGGGCCACCTGGGCCCCTGACCAGCTCAGCCATTCCCAAGGCTGGGGCAAAAGACCGTCCACTTCATACCTGTTGTAGTAAAGGATGAGATGTACCCGTCCCAGAACGTTCCTGGAGCCGTAAGCCAGGGGCCTCTGGCAGTGAGTCACACAAAAGCTCCCATAGCACAGACGGAATCACTGAAGACCAGAGAGGGGAAGGGAGGGAGTGTCACAGAGTCACAGGGGACGAGCGAGACTTGAGCTTGGGCCTTCTCGTTCCCTTCCAGGACCTCCCTATGCCATGGGCAGAGGTACTGACTGGCTTCACAGACCCCCGGACAACAGATGGTGAGCGATGGTTTTGCAGGCCATCCCTACCTCAGAACACCCCCTTCCACCCTGACAGGCCTGGCTTCCACTGGGCACTGAGGAAAGACCTGATGGACTGAGCGTGGTGGGCTTGGGAGGTGTGTAACTCGATGCCGTGTAAAATGGTGCCCATGAGAAGCTGAACCTTCATCTCACAGGCTGATGGCTTTAAGGCCCCAGCTGTTCTTCATCCAGCTGACAAGGCATTTAAAGCACCTACTATGTGCCAGGCACCATGCTATGGCATGGCACAGGGCAAATGGGATGCACTGTCCAGCAAGTTCGCTGCCTTCTGTGTGCCTTCCAGCGTGCCTGGAGTCACATCAAGAGAAGCTCCCAATATTGGCATCTGCCCGCTGAGAGCTTGCACCTACACACTGAGGGCCTGAGAGGGAAAGGGATTTTCCCTGAGTCACACAGTGAGGTCATCCCTCTCCAAGGTGACACCCCTGTACCTCCCTGAAAACATTAGGCCTGATTGGGCAGCCAGGAGGAGGGTGAGTGAGTGATCAGTCACGTAACTGCCTCCCACCAGCTCTCCCTCCCCCAGTACAAGTTGCTAAATCTCTCTGTGCCTCTCAGCTACCTCACAGGAATGAGAGAACTCATTACGGTAATGCCAGACAGCTTTTATCCAATGTTTAATTGTGCAAGCGCTGACACATGTTTATTTAAACATGTTATTAAACACATAGAAACACTATGATGTGGAGAGTCCTCGGATCATTCTCATTTTCCAGAAGAGGAAACTGAGGCACAGAGAGAGCACATGGAACACGTTGGTAAGGGACACAGCTGGGACCTGGGCCCAGGCAGGATGGGTGTGGCGCTGCCTCTGTACCAGAGGCCACACAGTCACCCGAGCATGCAAGGTCTGAGTTTGTTCATGCTCAGTATTTAGTAGTTGTTACTTTAGACAATAATACAATGATGTTCTATGTTACATAATAAAAGTAAGAGCTTATACTGTGGAAGAGAGATCCAAGTACTAGGTGGTGGGGGAGTGCTGGGGGGAGGAGGGGATCCCACCACAGGAAGGGGAGAGAGGTGGTCTCCAGGGCCCGAGATGCACTAGAATAGGAAGGAGCTTTTAAGGAGCTCAGAAAGGCATCACAACCTGCTGAGGTTCTTGGCACACAAGCTGGCGCAAAGAGCCATCTGGTCTACCACCTGCCTGGTTAGATGCGGCCGGGTTATTGAACGCGGTTTTCCATTCATTCATGCCACAAACCTGCACGCTGGTTCCCTGGCTCATGGCCTCGGTGTTCTCGCTGTGCCTGGGTGGAGGCTGGGGACCCATTCCTGAGGCTTGCTGGGGCATAGCTGGCTGCCCCTTTCCAGCAGCTGTCTGGGCCTCCCGGCAGGCGTGAGCCAGCAGGCCTCTGGGAAAATCAAGGGCAGGCAGAGGAAGCCTGGGGCCCACTGCGGAGACGTCTGCCCCCCGACTGTTCCCATCTTCGTCTTCCCACTGGAGTAAGGGCAAAGGCCATGGACTCCATCCAGGCTGGGCCTGAGTGCAAGGATACTGGCTTCCCTGGGACAGGGAGAATGGGCAGAGGGTGGGGTTTAAAAGGAGAGGTGTCTGGCTGGGACATCTCCAGGCAGCATCAGGCTCGCAAAGGATGCTGTGCCAAGATGCTGTCAGCTGAGTCTTATTTCTGGGCTAAGAAAGGGGAACCCAGGACATGGACTGCTGGGTGGCTGGGGCTGGGGTTTGCAGAGGAGATGGTGGGGGAGGCCCCCACCTGAGTGTCGGTGGCTGGGGCTGGGGTTTGCAGAGGTGATGGTTGAGGGGGGGTGGTTTGCAGAGGTGATGGTGGGAGAGGGTTTTCAGAGGTGATGGTGGGGAAGGGTTTGCAGAGATGATGGTGGGGGAGGTCCCCCCGCCTCCTAGCCATTTGCTCCTGGCCTGATCCCAGTGCTTCGAACCCCGCCATTTGGGGAGATTTCTCTGGGCTCTGTTGTGTCTTTGGTTTTCAAGAAGATGCCAAAGGTCTGCCAGCAGACCTGGAAAGGGCAGTGTCCTCACAGAATCAGAGTCTGTGGCCCCATCTAAACTCAGCTCCTCCTTCTGTCGGTTAAGGGAGGCAGGGAGGGCACTGCGGGGGCTGGGAGGCTTGGGGAACAATGGGGCCATCTCTAAGACACAGGGGTCTCCAGGGGTGGGTGTGTCCAGAGGGCCCTGGCTGTGGAAGTGGGAATTAGAGGGGGCTGCCTAGCCCAGAGCTGGTCCTGTGGGTGGGCGGGGCCCTGTTGGTAACCCCTGGGGGTGGAGATGGAAGCACTCATTCAATCCTGGATGTGATGCAAGCGGTCAGGACCCTGGACAGCTCCGGATTGGTCCCAGACACTCTTGGGGGCAAAAAAAAAAAAAAAAAAAGAGGAAGCTCACGTTTCTAGCCTCCTGTGCATCCCATCCTAAGAACCCCTGGAGTATGGCTCAGAGGAGGTGAGGGTCTCAGGAAGAGAAATGAGGGCAGAGGCACAAGACCCCTCTGTCCAGGATGGGATGCCAGACAGGTCGGAGCTGAGGTCCACAAGCCAAACAACGGGCAAGAGGGAATCTGAACCAACACAGCCAGGGAGGGGGCCTTTCTGGAGTCCTAGAGTGGCTCCATCATTAACTTTGGTGTGACTGAGGACCTCAGCTTCCCCAGCCAGAACACAGATGGAACGGTCTCCAGGTGGGTGGCCCATCCTGGTCCGCCCTACTGTCCTGACGTCACTACAAATGCCGCCTCTTTGTACTCTCAGAAGTGCTTTGGTTTGGACACTAGATTACATGGTCACTGTCTCTCTGGGCACCTTTGCATTCAATGCATACTAATGATTTCCTCCTATTTCAACTTGTAGCGAGAAAGGCTTTCAGCCAGGACCCAGGAGAGGCCCTGTGGAGGGGTCAGTTACCCCTGGTGCTACTTCCCATTCGTCAGCCAGGCCCGCTGAGGATGACCTACTCTCCCTTCTTCCTACAAGGTACTGCGGCCCCAGGGTGTCCAGAGGAATCAGTGGCCAAGACCTTTCGTTGGTCCCCATTCTCCTCTTCCTCCTTTACTAATTGAACTCCAAATTTAAGCTGGACCCACCAAAATACTACATTTCTAGCTGCCCTTGCAGCTAGGACCACATTCCAGCCAACAGGATGTGAGTGGAGTTGAAGTGTTCCACTGGTGAACGACTCCCTTAAAAGGAATGGGCCTAGGCCGGGCGCGGTGGCTCAAGCCTGTAATCCCAGCACTTTGGGAGGCTGAGACGGGCGGATCACGAGGTCAGGAGATCGAGACCATCCTGGCTAACATGGTGAAACCCCGTCTCTACTAAAAAATACAAAAAACTAGCCGGGTGAGGTGGCGGGCGCCTGTAGTCCCAGCTACTCGGGAGGCTGAGGCAGGAGAATGGTGTAAACCCGGGAGGCAGAGCTTGCAGTGAGCTGAGATCCGTCCACTGCACTCCAGCCTGGGCGACAGAGCGAGACTCCGTCTCAAAAAAAAAAAAAAAAAAAGGAATGGGCCTACATGCTCCTTGCCAGCTGGGATGCAGATGTGATGGTGGGAGCAGGAGCAGCCACTTTGGTCCCAGATGTGGAAACTACGGCTGATGGTGACACAGCCACCCTACCAGCCCTGGGCCACTGACTTCTGGCTGTTTGTGAAAGAGAAATAAACTTCTATCTTATTTAAACTACCGTTCTTCAACAGCTTGTCCCTACCTAATACAGATGAGAGGCTTCTCACTCAGAGGAGCAGACGACAAGGGAGGGGGCCTGGCACAATCTGGAGGTACTCTGGGTAGATGGGGAAGGGAGGAGAAGCAGGACTACAACTTCCTCCTCCTCCCCTGCAATCTGTCCCCGACATGCCCAATTTCCTTTTTCCCACCCTGGCACCACAGCTCCACCCTGGCCGTCCCTATACTTTGCACATGCCATGCGTGGTGGAGACGCCACCGTTTCTGCCATCTCTCACCTCACACCCAGAAGCCCCCTGTGCCCCTCTCACACACTCTTCCTTCCTAGAAGGTCACTCTGATCTGTCTGATTCTCTGAGTTCTGCATGCGTGCATCGTTCCTCTCTGGGAGGGTCAGGGCCCCCCATGAACCACATTCCCAGCCAGGCCTGGGCTCCCAGGGGCACAGCTAGGGCTCCAGCTCCCCCGTACCTTCCTCTGAGTGGAGCACACAGTAAGACCGTAGCATATGCTTGCAGACTGGGCACCCTGCCTACCTCCACCTGCCCCTTCCTGGGTGTCCCAGAGGCTTAGCGTGTCAGCTGAGCAAGCCTGGAACTGCGGCCCACTGAGGTACTCATGGCATCTCAGGGCCATGCTGCAAGTGGCCAGGCCAGGATGCTCCAACGTCCTAAGCAGCCTAAGCTAGGGCAGGCAGAGAGCCCCACGGGCTGCTCCAGGTGCCTGTGATCTCCATGTAGAGAATAGCAAGGCTGTGATACTGGAGCCTGGACGGTTCTCCTGGGCTCCTGCTCTGGGCAGATGCACAGCCCCTGTCTGCCTCTATTTCCTGTGTGTGGTGGCACCACTGATGCCCATCGCTCAGGGCTCTGGTGTTACGGAGAGGCTGCGTCTAGAAGGTGCTCAGTAAACGTGTTCTTCTCCTTCCACGCTTCCCCCTCCTCCCTCCTGCACACTCTGGCAGAGAAGCAGCTCCTTGAGCTCTGGGCCACGTCTCTCCGGATCAAATCATTGCTATGGAAAAACAACAGCCCTGTCTGCTAATTTCCCTCTGGCTCCCATGCCCCGTGCTGGCCACCTGCGCCCTGGCCCCTGCAGTTCCTCCTCTTCTCCCAACTCTCCTTCCTCCCTCCTCCCCCTCCATGGCTGCCGTCAAGCCAGACCTTGGCGCTGGCCTCCTCCCCAGGCCCTCCAGTTCCCCCGCACGCTCTCTGACCCACTTTCGCTGCTGGATTCACAGTTTCCCGGGTGGGGCTGGGGGAGTGTGGCTGCAGCCCCGGCTGGGAGTCACTGGGGCTAAGTTTGCAGGGGGAAGGGATGGCTACGGCATGCGCGCAGCCCCCAGGGGTCATCACGCGACATGTATGCACAGGGATGCACACAACTGTGTGTACAGAATGTGGATATTCTGTATCCCCATTCGGGGATGCAGGGGGCCTGGGGATCACACCTGTGCAGGCCTGTAGCTGGGCCAGCCTGGGGCATGCAAACACGCATGCACACACAGACGTACACCCATGTCCAGTGGCAGGAAGGAAGGCAGCTGAGGCTATGGAGGGAGGATGGGGGAGAAAGACTCAGTGGCACCTGCCCAGAGGGCTTGCCGGGCACACACCAAGGCCCCAAGAGGGCTTCAGACTTTAGCCAGGCGGTCACCTCACCAGATGCTGTGTGACCCCCTGGGGCCTGGGCCTCCACAGCACACAGCACGATGACCCTAGACTCTCTGGCTGTGGGACCAGCAGGGCAACCTGGAGGTAGCTCAAGCCAAGGCTGGACTGCAGGGTAGTAGGACCTCGGGGTGGGCAGAACCTCAGGGTGGTCAGGAGACGGGAGCAAGTGGAAGGGGAGCAGGCACAGCTGAGAGGACTCCTGGCTTCTCATTCACTTACAGACCCTCACCCCCAACTCACTGAGGAAGAACACAGAGAGGTTACATGACTTGCCTCTGTGTGCACAGCTGGTGAGCAATGGCGCCCACAGTTAAACCTGGGCCTGGGACAGATCCCTCCCGCTGGGTGCCAAAGAGCAGGTCAGAGACCAGGGGTCAGAGGCCAGAGTTCAAAGTCAGGGGGAGGGTCTACAAGGGGAGGAGGCCAGAGTTCAGGCTGAAAGACAAAGTCTGCGGCAGGGATGGGCAAACTGGGGCCGGAGGCAGCCTTCAGGAGCCCTGACCCAGGGGAAGGAGGGAATCTCCAGGGCCTGCCCAGCGGGAGAGGCCAGAGGCAGGGGGCTGGGCATCTGCAGTCACACCCTCTGTCTGCTAATGAAGTTACAGGAGTCACATGATGTAAATGACAGGAGGAAATTAAAAGACCAATGAAGATCTAGGAGCAGAAGCTGGATCCCTGCAGCCTGGCCTGCTGCAGGAGCAGGTTGATTGTGGCGGGGAAGGGGCTCTGCAGGAGGCAGAAGCTGGCAGGAGACCCAGGTGCCGGGGAGGGGAAAGGAACAGCTCCCTTCTCATCCAGGGTGGCCCATGGGGCGACTCCGTCCAGGCTGGGCTTGGGCAGTTCCGAGTGTGTGCAGAGGTGAGATAGGATGGAGGCAGCGGCTGCCCTTGTGCTGGGCTCCTGTGAGGAAAAGCAGCCAGGTGTGGGGTGGAGGCGGAAGCAGGGAGAACCCAGGCTGGGTTAAGGGATGCCCCTGGAGGATGCCCCAGAATGGGCTGTGGCTCATCTTACAAATGTCAGCATGCACCTTGTGAATACCACCGGGACAAGGTCTATTGCCTGGCATCTAGTAGGTGCCAAATAACCACTTGGCAAACGAATAAGACATGTAGTAAGCACCAACCGAAAGGCAGCAGTGACCGCCGTGGGCAGGAGAACGGCTCAGGTGTTGGCTGCTACCTTCCTAATGATAAGGAACAGACTTAGCTGGTGTATTCCCTTCCTCTTCACCTCTACCCACTTCCTGGTTTCCTGCCTGAGATGCAGATACAATGGCCGGAGGTGTGGCAGCCATCCTGAGGCCATGAGGACAAATGTCCACAGCTGCAGAGCAGGAAGCTACAAGGAACCTGGGCCACTGACAACCCCCTTAGGCTATGTACCAGCTCCACTGCCACCTCTTTGCATAAGAAAAATGACCCCCATGTGGGGTTCAATCATGCAGTGTTTAGGTTTGTCTTGCACAGACAAACTCAGTCCCTAGCTGACACAGCATAAAATACTACTGAATCATTTTATGAGAAAGTTACTCTCACTTTAATACTCTTGATTACAACAAGAAGAAAGTCTCAGATCAGGGTTGGTGAGTCTTGAACACCTCTGCACACTTACCGCTCTCCTGTTTTAATAAAGCAATAGCAGGCCTTGGGCTCCGAACCTCCCCCGGAGCTACAGCATCCAACTAGAATTTAATAACATTGTTTTGTTTCCACTGAATTTATTTTTATGATTATGAATTCTATTTATGGCAAGAGAGGCTTGTTTTCCATTTGTAGTAGTGCTATAAAGCTTCCCTTTTAAATAAATGTATTTAGGTTTTTAAAAAGTGAATGGATTTAGAGGAAGGCGGTAGGCTTGAAGTCGGAGGTGGTGTGGGGAGTGGTGAATGGAGTCTGGTGGGGATGCTGCCCAGCCCTGCACTGCTGCTTTGAGGGACAGTCTGTCCCGGGCAGGGGGAGCCGGCAGGGCTGGGGTGGTTAAGCCTGGCCCCTCCGCATGCTGGGGGCTGAGCCTCTGTCGCAAGAGGGTTTGTTCAGCCTGGAGACAGGGGATGGGTTTCCCTTGGGGCTGGGGAATCTCTAGAAGACGCAGCCTCAGAGGCGTAGGCTGGTCAAGTGGGCGATGAGTTGTGAGCAGTGACTTGAAGCTGTCCTGGTCACTGAGCCACTAACTCAACGTCCCAGGTTCCTTCCAGCCTGCCCGTGTGAGGCAAGACTTCAAACGCGGGGGCTCCGGGAGCTGGCGTGACCTTTTGCTGATTAGCTCGCGCTGTTTGCTCGGCAGCCGCCAGCTGATCTCTGGACGGCGGCTCAACACACCAGCCACAGCCGCCTGTCACCCTCCGGCAGATAAATAACTGCTCCTGGAGAGGTGGGGGAGGGGAGCCGGGCGTGCGGCAGTGTTGGGGGAGCGGCTGCACGCAGCATGCGGGGATTGGTGAGGTGGCCTTGGGCGAGTCGCTGGGATGCCAGCCCTGCATTTCAGCAGCACCTCTGCCAGCAAGGGCATCGCTCCCACTCCCCAGAGAGGGAAACTGAGACCTACGAAGGGGAAGGGGCTTGCAGACAGGGTCTGGGCTCACCTCTCTGGGCTCCCAGGCCCTACTGTCTTGAACAGGCCTCTACCTCCTATCATAGCCGCCGGCCCACCCCCGGCCTCTCTCCCTGGTGCTGAACGAGTCCAGCCAAGGTCACCCAGGGTCACAGGATACCAGAGAGCCCCTTCTAAAGTCTCAATCACTGCCTGGATAAAAGCAACTTCTAGGGACCAGGCCTTGAATGCAGGAATGGAGGAGAGGGGCAGAGGTGTTAGAAGCTGGGAAACTTCAACTCGCTGAATGACAAAAGGATGTCCCTAGAAGGGATCTCGGAAACAATGCGTCCCATCCCCAAGTTCCTGAGGAAGACC